CCTCTGGCTATTGTAGGAGTTTTAAGTAAGGGTTTGGTTGCAGAGGAAGTGTAAAGACTCATTGTTCGTGGGGCTGTGAAGGGGCTTCCAAGGAAAGGTGAGGGCTGCAACAGTTTTCTGTCTTTGCCCCTTTTTGGCTGGGAGCCATTGCTGGCAAGGCTTTGTTCTGTAGGTGAGCTTAAAGAGGGTAAGGAAAAGGGTTTGTGTAAGGCTTAAGTGCAAGACAAACTGTGGAGCCCAAGTGTTAGCAGGGAATGTGAAAAGGCTGCTAAGATAAGGTGAGGGCTGCCAAAAGCTTTCAGTCCTGACCACTTCTGTGTGGGAGCCCTAGATGGCAAGTGTCTGTTTTGGACCTGGGCTCTGGCAAGGTCAAGGGGTAGGTGATCATTCTGGTGCTTGACATGGTGCAGAGCCCAAGTGTTTTGGGGCTGTGAGGGGAAGACTTTTTCCTGGGAGCCATAGCTATCAGAACTGTGTTTTTGACTTGAGCTCTGGCAAGGGCAAGGATCAGGAGGAAAATTAATGTTAGGGGTACGCAGAGGACAAATAATAGAGCCCCAATATTTGAGATGATTTGAAGCGGTTGCCAATGGATGGTGAGGGCTGCCAAATGCTTTCATTCCTGGGGACTTTTTCTTGGGAGTCATTGCTGGCAGGGCTCTGTTTTGGAGATGGGCTTAGGGTAGAGTTGGGTAGGGTAGGCTACAGCAGTGGCCAAGAATGAAATCTTTTGGCAGCTCTCAGCTTCCCTTGGCAGACCCTTTGCAGCCCCACCAACACTGCGGCTCTGTGCTTGCTCTATCCCACACCACGACCATAAACCTAGCCAGAGCTCAGCTTCAAAATGGACAGCTGCCAGCTAGGGCTCCCACATAGAAATGGCCAGGATGGAAAGCTTTTGGCAGCGGCCACCTTCACTTGGCAGCCCCTTCACCACCCCTCTAACTCTGGGGCTCTGCGGTGGCTCTACCATCTAACTCTCACCTAATCCCTCAGCCTTGCCCAGAAGCCAGCTCCAAAAGCAACACCCACCACCTAGCGCTCTGTACAGTAGCAGCCAGGACTGAAAGGTGTTGGCAGCCCTCACCTTCCCTTGGCAGCCCCTTCACAGTCAAACAAACACTGGGGCTCTGCATTTGCTCTTGCACGTAACCATCACCTACACCATGATCACAACCCTAGGCAGAGTACAGGTCCATCACAAACTCTGCCAGCAATGGCTCCCTAGAAAAAGTGGCCAGGTTTGAAAGCTTTGGCAGCCCTCACTTTCCTTTGGCAGTGTAAGGAACTGAAACATTTGTTGGTGAGTCCTGGCATTTGTCTCAAAGATTGCTTATCTAAGAAGAGCAGCTGCAAGGCCATGGAGGCCTCCGGTTTGCAGGGGCTGCACTCTGAGCTAGACTCCATGTTGTCTAGGAATGTTGCAACGTCCCGTTCCCATGGAAACTGCAGCCCTTGAACAGGAATAAAGGGGACTGACAAGATGACCCCCCAGTGCAATCGACCACCACCAACCCCAGAGAGATCGCCCACCGCGGACCCCGGAGCGACTGCTCACTACTAATGCACTAAAAGACTTGGACTCTGAGACGTCATGGATCCATGGTGGTGACTATTCTTGCAACTCTATCCCGAATGCTTGCTTGATTTCTACCTTTATTCTAATCTATCCTCTTGCTACTAACTTCTACTTTTGATAGTAGAAGTTGTTTAGGACACACAGTATCGCTACTAACTTTTACTTTTGATAATAAAAGTTGTTTAGGAAATAGGGCATTTGATACAGCATTTAACCTCATTTGTGTCTTAATCAATGTGATCCCTCACTCTTAGGATCACACTGAAACCTCCCCTGATATTGGATCAGGACAGGCAGCTCCTTTGCAGCCCCACAACTACTGAGGTTCTGCTCTCTCTTTTGCACCTATAGCTAATTCTCACCCTTGCCCTAACCCTTAACAGACCCCAGGTCCAACAGGGATGGGTTCCATGAAAAAATGCCCTATGACTCCCACACAGAAAGGGTCAGGACTGAAAGATTTTGACTGCCCTCATCCTCCCTTGGCTGTTCCTTCACAGTCCTACAAACACTGGGGCTCTGCTCTTTGTCCTGCAGCTATGGCTAAGGTTTATCCTTGCACTAACCCTAACTAGAACCCAGGTATAATGGGACGCCCCACACTCTATGGCTCTTAGGCAAAAGTGGCCAGGACTGGAAGATTTTGGCAGCCCTCACTTCACCTTGGCAGCTTTTTCGCCCCTGTGCCCCCCAACTGGGGCTCTGCTCTTTGTCTTGCACCTAACTCTAACCCTCTTCCTGACCTACCCTAAGCCCACAGCCAAAAGCGAACCTTGCCAGCAATGGCTCCCAGGAAAAAGGGGCCAGGACTGAAAGCTTTGGCAGCCCACCCCTTCCTTTTGCAGCCCCTTCAAGTCCCACAAACAATGGGGCTCTGTTCTTTGTCCTGCATCTATGTCTAAGCCTCACCTAACCCTAGCCAGACCCCAGGTCCAACAGGGACACTGCCACCTATGGCTCCCAAGAAAAAGTATCCAGGACTGAAAGCTTTTGGTAGCCCTCACTTTCCCTTGGTAGTCTTTTCACGGCTCCCCTACCGCTAGGGCTGCTATACACTTTGTCTTGCACTGAACCCTAACCATTTTCCTGACCCTCACCTTACCCTAAGCCCATGTCCAAAATAGAGCCTTGTCAGCAATGGCTGTCCGTCCTGCACCAGGTCTTAGCCATTCCAATATTCATCAGTTCCCAATATACTTGAAGAGGGAGGTGTATATTTAAGCATTTCTCAAGGAAGAAAGACTCCAGCACAATTTTTAATATGGTTGGAGACTCCATGACAGAAAAACAATTTTAAAAACTCTACAACTGACATACCAAAAGTATGCATATGTAACAAATAGTAAAATGAAAAATTATTCAATAATCCCTCCACAACCTCCCCATCTTTCCAGATTTTCATGGTATAGTTTGCTGTCCAAAACTCAGCTCCATGCTATTTCCTCATAATTGTCATTAAAGCATTCGAATAAAACAGTAAATTTTTTAAATTCCACAGCAGAAATCAGCAG